GCTCTAGTTTCCTTAATGGCTTTAGGAGGCCTGGACCACCAACATTACTCCTAATCCTGGCAAGGAAAATTGTTAGTTGTTAATGTTTAATGTTTCTTATAGCTAGCAGACAAATTTTAGGTAAACTGTGAAACAAAGTTATACTTTATAACATTTTATATTTATAATGATTTACTCTGTTTACTTCGATAATGTAAAGTAAAAATAATTTACTTGGATAATGATTACTTTAAAATGTAGTTTCTACTTAGGTACTTTGGCAAAAAGTAGAGATTCTCAAATGCAATCACCCATCCACAGGTACCTAAGTAACTCACGGTGACTTTCCAGTGTTTAATAAACACTGTGCTAGTTACCTCCGAAGTGGCATGTAGAATTTTTTCAAAGAGTCCTTTCTAATGACCACTTTTATCATTAAAAATAATGGCAGAGTAATTATATCAGATCCACTCTCTTGCTTACAATAATTAGATGCTGTGGACAATATATTAAAGGTAAAAGTAATCAAAAGCAGGCAGAAACTGGGATATGAGCCTCAAAAAAAGAAAACCAAACCATATGAAACCTACATTTATATAGCTTTTTCCCTAAAGGTATTCCTCAGTCCATGCAGCACATGAGGAAGAGAATGCAAGCAGAAAATGGAAATCTTACTGAGCTGAGGAGTCAAAGGTATCTGGAACTGTCAAAGCACCTAGAATTTGGAGGAGGAGAAATCCTGGAAAAGACAGAACCACAGAGCAGGTAGCCCTAAAATATGTATATGACTCCACTCAAATCCTTAAATGATTCCTGGCTGTGCATGAACAAGGTATTTAGGAACCCAAAGAAAGGAAGAGCTGGAAGGCTGAAAGACTGAGAGCAGTTCTGGGGAGTCCCAAGTTTGAATTCAAGTCCTACTAAATTAGAGGGGTTTGGGAAACACCAGGCTTGACAAGCACCTCACACTTCCCATTGAACCCCTTGAGGGGTCATACCTTGGGACTATGAACCACATCCTAGGACTAAGACTTACACTGTCAGACTAAAGGCAAAACAGACCCGCCAAAGCAAGTCCTAAAACCAAGCCTTCATAGGATCAAGGCGATCTTCCAGTGATGTAACTGCCTGTTGGAACAAAACTCACCATTCTTTAAAGGAAGGTAAACACTAAAATGCATCGCTCACAATGTCCAGTAAATAACAAAAACTACCACAAATGAGAAGTAAAGGGAAATTGTACCCAGAGTCAACAGAAGGAGTTGTTACAAACATACCCAAAGACAATCCAGATGTTAAGAACTGACAAATAAGGACTTTAAATAACTATGACAAATATGTCCTTAAAAACGTACATTTTGTGCATTTTACAAACCAAAACCTTACCCTCCCCCAACATTCTAGTGAACCTGAGTTACCCATGATTTTCAATCAAATTGGGATTTGGAATGGTTTATCTTTGAAAGCCTGAGACAAACAACTTGAAAGTGATTAATGACAGCCAAACTTAATTATATATTTACACCTCCCAGTAGGACAAGGGAGAGAATAAAATGTCTTATCTCTCTGTAGTGAGAGGGCTTTATTGAGATCTGACAACAACTATTTAGGAGCAATAATTGAGTTTTATGCAAGATTACACAGGTTCTCCTTGTCTGGCATCCCAATCTAATCATAGACTGATAGAATACTTGGGCTCCTAACAGTGAGAAAAAATAGTTGAGCTGTGTACAAAACTAACCTTTAAAAGTACTTATCCTCATCTGTCAATGTGATCTTATCAAGGATTTCTATAATTTCTATAAACAACGATTATATTTTAGCTGAATCAGTAGCATTATGCTCTTTAAACAGATAGTCAGATATCTTCTACTCTAAAACATTTGCCATTAATTCCCACCCTCCCACCCCCTGTAAAAAGAATTTGGCTTAACTTTCTTTTCTTAATCCACTAAGCAATTTCATGAACAAAAAGATAATCATATGCCCTGCATGTCTGATGTAATTTTTATAGAACTTCTAAGTGCTCTAATATCCATTTACCATTTTGGGAAAATAATATTTACTGAACAAGCTGGATTACCTTCTTTCCCCAAGGAAAAAAGGAAAGTTGGTGAAAATACACTGACAGGTCTGCTAAGTAGATGTTATTTTTGCTTAAAATTTTGCTTAACATCCTGTGGCATTGTAGGGATGACTGAGTTCGCCTCCCTGATATTGTTCTTGCTTTTCCTGTGTCCACTTAAGTCACTGACACAGCCACTCCTGAAGATGCTAATATTGCTTTTACCAACATAGAGAAATACTCTCTTTTTACAAGTTTTGTTGTTCATATTGGTCTCCCAAAAAGACAGTCTCGCCCATTTTTTTCCTTACTCACCTTTCTCAGGGGGCTTGTTTCCCTCACAGAGGGTTGGAGGACATCTGAGGGACTCGCCCAGAACCATATCCATAAGCAACCTATCCCATCAACAATTAACAAGCATCCACGGACAGATTTTGGGCAGCTCCATTTTTGTTCACCACAAAGTGAGTTCCCTGTTCCCTAGCAGTGCTTCTTCTAGAAACCAGGGGCAACTGTGTCTCTCTCACCTTCGTTGGAGAGTTGGAGACTAACAGCCCACAAATCTCTTTTCTCCCAAAAGTGACCCTTAGTGTCCTCTCCTGGTAAGTGCTCAGAGACTAGTCTCTCTTCCCACAGCAAACCACAAATATGTAGGCCAACACTTAGAACCTATTTGAAATTCCCCCTACATAAGTCACCATGTTGAATTGTGTCCAAGTAGAACTAAAGTGCCTCTCAGTATAGTACTACCATACTAGATGCTGTGTGAAGCAAATAAAAAAATTCTCAGAGGCGAGGACAGTACCTTCTTATTTAAGACACAGATTAAAAAAAACATGTGAATGATGAAATCTATTGGGCACCTTCTGGTTCAAGAAACACATTGTTAAGCTCTAGCTACGTATCAGGCATTAACAAGGACCTCGAAATCCAGTAGAAGAAACAAACACATCCACAAATGATCATAATTTAATGTGTTAAGTACCACAAGAGAGCTGAATAATAGAATAAAGCAAGTAACTATGACACCAGGTGCCAAAAAGGGACTGAAGATTCTGGTAGCCAGTTCCAAGGTATTAAGTTCCTCCCCTTTATTATCTCTAGCTGTGTTACCATTCTGAGCAAAGACTACATCACATGTTTTTGTTTTTTGTTTTCCAGCTAGAAAAACTATGTGAGCAGCTCATTACCAGTTACAAAAACATTTCATTTCCAGTATTATCTTTATTCCAATTCAAGCAACCTACGGTTAAACTTTACTGTCATCTGGGGCGCCTGGGTGGCTCAGTCGGTTAAGGGGCTGTCTTCAGCTCAGGTCATGATCTCAGGGTCCTGGGATCCCAGGGTCCTGAGCCTCACATTGCGTCCCCCGTGTCCATCGGGTCCCCCACGTCCCCCGCATCCACGCGACCCTGCGTTTGCTTCTCCCTTTCCCTCCGCCCCTCTCCCCCTGCTTGTGCTTTCTCTCTCATTCTCTCTCTCTCAGATAAATAAAATCTTTAATTAAAAAACAACTTTACTGTCATCATAGCTTAAAATATTGTCACTCTGCTCAAGAGCATCTTCCCTGACTTGCAAAAATCCTCACTTATGACATTAAAAAACTTAGATCCTGGGACGCCTGGGTGGCTCAGTTGGTTAAGCGTCTGCCTTCAGCTCAGGTCATGATCTCAGGGTCCTGCTCAGCAGGGATTCTGCTTCTCCCTCTGCTTGCTGCTCCCCCTGCTTGTGCTTGCTCACGCTCTCTCTCTCTCCCCCTCTCTCTCTGATAAATAAATAAATAAACCTTAAAAAAGAAAAAAAAAAGAACTTAGAGCCTGGTGTCAGAATGGATTTGACTGGAACCAATGTCATTATTATATATATAATATATATATTATATTATGTTATCCAATTAAATATCCAGAAAAGAAATAAAACTCGTTTAAAATGCTTATCAAGCAAGTACTGCTACTAAAGCAGAGGACAAGTGTACCCCATGAAAGTGTTAAAGAAAAGTTATATTATCAGTCTTATTTTCCATGATCTAAATACAATGAATACATGTTCCTGTCAAAAATTTTCAAATGAGGGACACCTGAGTGGCTCAGTCAGCTAAGCATCTGCCTTCGGCTCAGGTCATGATCCCAGAGTCCTGGGATCGAGTCCCACATCAGGCTCCTTACTCAGCGGGGAGCCTGTTTCTCCCTCTGCCTACCGCTCACCCTACTTGTGCTCTCTCGCTCTCTCTGACAAATAAATAAATAAAATCTTTAAAAAAAAATTTCAATTGAGCCAGAGCCAGAAGGAAAAAAATATGGTCCATAGGACACAAAGAGGAGCTACTTATGGGATAATCTCACAGGCCTCCTCAAAGAAACAAAAAGTATAGCTAAACTGGTGTTGGAGAAACAGAAAACTGCTCTTGGCCTATGCTCCCTAGTCCTGTTCCATACCCTTACTCTTGTAAGCCCATATAATGACATTCTCCACAGTGCCTGTTCCCCATCCCATCCCTACAAGTGCATATGCATCTTTCCCACAGTCTCTCTTTAGGAACTGGACTATTTTACACCAGAAAAATAGTTTCATGTTGTAATATTCACTTACACTAGGCAGAATTAAAGTTAATATCTATTGTGGTTTGACTTAAAAACAAGATCATAACTAACATGTTGAGGAGTGATTCTAAGAATGCACTCAATATACATTAACTAGCCACTCACTGAAAAGTCTTTTTCATAATGAAAAAGATAGTGATAAGATAATAAGAAGTTCTTGTTAACCATTTATCTGACATCTACACCCTTCCATCTTCATCCCCCACAAAGACTACATCAGAAAAGTTAGAGAACCAGTAACATTTCACAGAAGTATTGAAAATAGAATTAGTAGAACCAAATCTTGTCCAGGGTTCTACTGGGGAAAAGTAAAATATATAAAAAGGAAAAAAAAAAACAAACAGAGAAAAACTTACTTGCAGTATCCTGTGCCATTGTGGTAGGTAACACATACTCCTTCATTTACACAGGGCTCATAGCCATCCCGACACTGCAATGCTGAAAGTAAAAACAAACGTACATTAGAAATAAGTCACTAATCAGAACCCTCAGACAGCAAAGAAATATTACCCAATCTAGGTCAATATCCGTTCCCATATCCAACCTGATCTGGGTTTCCCTTTAGAGCTTTCATCAGGTTTTTTTGTTTGTTTTGTTTTGTATTTGTCCTTTGGCTTCTGGGGTCATAGAAGCATGGAAGCTCATCCTAGGAGTCTCTTCCTACAATAACTACTTTACAGTCTTGAATGATGCTCTTAATTCTCTGTGCCTCTATCTTCCCAGCTGTTGCATCCCTATCTCGCAAAGAAAATTAAAGCTCTTAACATCCATGACATGCCATGAGCATCTTGAAATTTAAATACTTCAGATAAGTAATGTAAGGATTCATCAATGAAAATTTAGGAAGACCTGGGTAAATACTAGATCACCATGATACTAATGAAGTACTTAAGCCTTCAAGTGAGGTTTCAGAACAGACCACTTTAATAACTAATCAGAAACATCAACAATATTCATTGAACTAACTGTAATTGAGAGCCTAGTATATACTAGGCACACTATTAGGATCCAGAGGAAAAGGGGAAATGGAATACATAAGAAATGAATACAACATAATCTCTAGCCTTAAGGGACTCACACAAAGATGGGAGAGTAGACCATGAATACAGACTGGGGGGGGGGGGGCGGGTCAAAGTAAAGAAAATAAAAAGTTAATTTATATATGCAAATAAAACAATAACTCTCAAATTCTTAAACTCCAGTCCTTTTACAAGGCAATGAAAAGGCACCTCAGCACCATAATCCCTCCTAAAACAGACTACTCAGAAATATACAGCAATGGTAGAAATTTTCATTGATTCCAACCACAAGAGGAGAAAGGCTCCTAAAGTCTACCACTCACTTGCTGGATAACTTGATTATTTAGCTTTTAGAGTTAGAATTTTCATCACCAAAATCTTTATCAAGAATCCTAATAACAACTGGAAATGCAAGACAGAAAGAAACCTAGTCAAACAACAAAAACCAAAATTGCAGTTAATGAACTTTTTCTGTAAGATTAAGATGTCCATCTGCTAGGATAGTTTGTATACAAATACATGAAAGCAAAATTGAGAAGTTTCCACCTTTGAGTTTTCTCTAGCCATACTATTTTATGAATAAACTCCTCGATATCACAGGCTCTAGGCCTGACGTTCTAGGGCATCAAAATCAGCTTCTTTTCACAGGGGGCCCAGGCTCAAGCTGGATGCTAGAACAACTCCTCCATTAACAATTACTGCATAAGATGGGCGCCTGAGTGGCTCAGTCAGTTAAGCATCTGCCTTCTGCTCAGGCCATGATCCCAGGGTCCTAGGATCGAGTCCTGCATCGGGCTCCCTGCTCAACAGCAAGCTTGCTTCTCCATCTGCCACCGCTCCTTGTGCTCTCTCTCATGTGTGTGCATGCTCTCTCTGTCTCAAATAAATAAATAAAATCTTTTAAAAAATAAAATAAAATGCTTTCCTTAAAAAAAAAAAATTACTGCATAAGAACCCTCTATTTGCCCAGTACCATTACCAAGTGATGGAATCATTTGAGAACATGTTTATAGAAATCTCATCTCTTAAAATAATATTTTTTAAATAGTAATAACCACAGCAGCTAACACATTGTCCTTACTAAATCCCAGATACTATTTTATGCACTTTACATAGACTAACTAATTCAATGTTCCCTACAATGCTGTGAAGCAGTTAATTTCATTACATGTGTTCCACAAAAAGGCTAAGTGACCGGCTACTGCCACACCAGTGAGTTAAAGAGCCAAATTTGAACCTTAGGGAGTCTGGAACCTGCAAGAGAGTCTGTACTCCTAACTACAGTGATACACTGCTTCCCACTATCTGACATTTTTCTTTTCAGATGGGCAGGATAGGTCTTGTTATACCCATTTACTAGAAAGTGAAGGCCAAGGAAGTTAGGTGACCTCCTCATGGAACATCACACCACTATCTGTGGCAGTGTCTGAGGTCCAGGTCTCTTCCTGAGTCCAGCCCCATCTCTGACAGCTGCTGGGATCACACAGTCACTAAGCTGCAGCCTGAACAGGCAGATTCAGGAAGAGGGTCATCTTGTTGTCCATATCCCACTTCCCTGTAGGGCTCAAATGCTCCCTCTTCCCACACTGATAAGGCCAATGCAACAACTATAATTAAAACAGTTAATGTCAGGTTATTTCCTCCATACCAAAGTTCTCGAACTGCTTTTTTCATTCTCTTTAGACACTTTTATTAGTTTCAATGAGAACTTCCTGACTTTTTTCTATTTGCTTTTTTTCTTTAAATAAAGAAGAAAACCTGTCAGTAGGAAAGGAATGTCCTGCAGGCACAGAGCAAGCTAAGCTGCAGCTCTGTCCTCCCCCTGCAGGAATCCTGGCTCAGTGGAGTCCAAAAACCTGAAATCCTGCCTCTACCACTAACTAGCTGTACTATTGCAAGTAAAGCACAACCTCATGGGGGCTCAATTTCCCTACCGGTAAACTAAACCGGGGGGAACTAAATGCTCTTGAAGGTCTCCTGTGATCCAACAGTGACACCTCCCTCATTAAGGTGGGAGGGATGGGGTGGCTGGGTGATAGACATTGGGAAGGGTATGTGCCATGGTGAGCGCTGTGAATTGTGTAAGACTGATGAATCACAGACCTGTACCTCTGAAACAAATAATACATTATATGTTTAAAAAAAAAAAAAAGGAAGATAGTAGGAAGGGAAAAATGAAGGGGGGGGGCAATCGGAGGGGGAGATGAACCATGAGAGACTATGGACTCTGAAAAACAAACTGAGGGTTCTAGAGGGGAGGGGAGTGGGGGGATGGGTTAGCCCGGCGATTGGGTATTAAAGAGGGCACGTACAGAATGGAGCACTGGGTGTTATACGCAATGAAGCATGGAACACTACATCAAAAACTAATGATGTGGGGCGCCTGGGTGGCTCAGATGGTTAAGCGTCTGCCTTCAGCTCAGGTCATGATCCCAGGGTCCTGGGATCGAGCCCCACATCGGGCTCCTGGCTTGGCCGGGAGTCTGCTTCTCCCTCTCCCTCTGCCTCTCCCACTGCTCATGCTCTCTCTCTCTCTGTGTCTCTGTGTCTCAAATGAATAAATAAAATCTTTAAAAAAAAAAAAAAAAAACTAATGATGTAATGTATGGTGATTAACATAATGAAATAAAATTTTAAAAAAGTATGTGAACAGCATGCCTCGTCCCTGGAGAAATCTATGCAGAAGGACATTAAGGGTCTAGCCACCCATGACTCAGAAAGCCATGGTTGCAAAAAAATTACAGTCTGTTCCTATTAAGTGTCCTGGCAAATCATTACAGTGACAGGTTCAGAGAAATACAAACAACCCAAAGTCAATATGTGGCAATCCATCAAGCAAATAACTTTACAGCCTAGCCTTAGTGAACCAATCAAATTCAGGGACCAAAAAGGAGGTGGACTTACAGGGCTAATAATTAATGCCATTTGGCTAATCTGTAGGATCACGCTACCTTGACCCTTTAACATTTACTAAGCCATGGTGTTCAAAGTGTGCACCAGAATCAACCGGAGGGCTTGCCAGACACCACCCCCACAGTTTCTAATTGAGGAGGTCTAGAGGGGGCCTGGGCATTTGCATTCCTAACAAGTTCCCAGGTGATGCTGATGCTACAAGTCTGAGGAACCATACTTTGAGAACAACTAAGGCATGAGTGGCCACATTAAGGAATCCCCTAGGACTATAGACTACACTGGAGGTCTTGAGTAATCTAGACAGTAATATACTGCCTGAATAGACAAAAGAAAAATAAAGTAAAATTTGAGACTCGTGACTTTGCTCAGGGGTATTTCTAAATGAATACTGTAATTATTTGCCATTCAAAGAGAAATTAAAACTTTGATAACAACAACAACAAAAAAACAAAACAGTGAAACCAGAAAAGATCCCATTTCAAAATTCAATGTGCTCTTTTTCCAATGTAAAACACTTAAATTTAACAGTGAAATTGAAAGCACCTTTATATTTGTGGAGTAAAAAATGAAATAATCAAATCTCATTTAGAGAACAGATGCTTAACTGATGTTTTAGTAGACTCAGAGAAATAAGTCACTCACAAAAAGAGTGACTTTTTCCCAAATTTTTATCTTAAGCCACAGTGATCACTCAATAAATACTATTGACTGGAATCAATCTCATACACTGTGTGTGTGTGTGTGTGTGTGTGTGTATCTCTGTGCATGCCTCCCTCCTCCTCCAAAAAAAAGGGCAAAAACAAAGAGAAGCAGGAGATTTCAATTTCATCACTCCATCAACTTGGCAATGTGACACAAAATTTCTAATTTTCACACATTTTCTGTGCAATGTTTTGGGGGCTAGGCTTCTAATATTCAGAACATACTTATAAAGCATCTATTCCATGAGGTGCAGGCCCTAATGTCAGGGATTCCATACTTAACAGAATAAAGTCCCTGTCCCCATGAACCTTCTATTAGGGAAAGATAGATAATACATGAATAAATAATGTCATTTTAGACAACGGTAAGTGATACATTCTGTTGGAAACAGAACCCAGATATGGGAGACAGAGTAATCACAAAGGCTGGAGGTATAGGGACCTCCTTTAGACAGGGTGACTAGGAAAGGCCTCTCTCAGAAGGTATCTTTGAGCTAAGATTTAAATGAACAAAAATCATGAAGATGTGGGAAAGAGCAATCCCAAACTGAAGAAAGAGCAAGTGTAGAGGCCTTGAGATGGGAATGAGACTAGTATTCCAAGTTCACGTGGTTGGAGACTATTAAGCAAGGAGGGGGAGTAATAGGAGGAAGGCAGGGGTTAGACCCTGGCTTCTGGCCTAAGTGCTCAGCTTTAAGCAAGGAAAATGACAATCAGATTTGTGTTTGAAAACAGTCACAATTGTAGGGGCGCCTGGGTGGTGCAGTCAATTCAGCGTCTGACTCTTGGTTTCAGCTCAGGTCTG